CAATGGTAATGACTAGAAAACAATAACAAATATGAGAACTATTAATTCAACTATAACAATATTAACTTTAACCATCAATGGTCTATATATTGCAACTAAATTATACAGATTGTTAGGCTGGATCAAAAATAACTCAATTATTTGTTGTCTACAAGAAACTCTCTTTAAATATGAAGACACATATAGGTTGAAAGGAAAGGTATGGCAAAAGATTGTCTATGCTAACACTAAGACTTACCGTATAGCTACACTAACCAAGACAATGTAATATTGGTGAAAAAACAAACAATAGAATAGAATGGAATATCCAGGTATAGAGCCACATAAATTTAATCACTTGATCTTTGAAAAATCACCAAAAGCAATACAATGGAGCAAAGACAATCTTTTCAAGAAATAGTGCTAAAAATAATGGACATCCACACTTAAAATATTAAGTCTAGTCACAGATCTTATATCCTTTATCAAAAATTCAATCAAAATAGTTCATTGCTTAAATATAGTATACAAATTTCTAAAACTCATAGAATATAATATAGGAAAAACCTTGATGACTTTCAGTAAGGCAATACTTTTTAGATAAAACACAAAAATCATGACCCATGAAAAATAATTGATAAGCTAAACTTCATTAAAATTTAGAATTTCTGCTATTCAAAAAATGATGTCAAATCACACAATAGGAGAAAATATCTGTAAAGGACACATCTGATAAAGGACTGCGATCCAGAATATATAAAGAATCCTTAAAACTCAAAAATAAGGAAATGAATCCAATTTAAAATGGGCAAAAGACCTAAATCAACACCTCAACAAAGAAGATATGGTAAGTATCATATGAAAGATATTCAACATCACATGTCATTAAGGAATCACACATTAAAGCAACAATGAGACACCACTAAACTTCTATTAGAATGGGCAAAATATAAAACCTTGGCAATACCAAGTGCTGACAAGAATCTGGAGCAACAGAAACTCTGATTTGTTGCTGGTAGAAAAGTAAAACTGTACAGCCATTTTGGAAGAGAGTTTGATTCTTACAAAACTGAACATATTCTTTAAATGTTTATGTGTGTAAAATATACACACACACACACAGGAGTTGGAAATATATCCACACAAAAACCCACACTCAGATTTTTATAGCAGTATTTTCATAATTGCCAAAACTTGGAAGCAACCCAGATGTCATTCAGTAGGTGAACGGATAAATAAACTGATAAATCCAGACAAAGAAATACTACTGATCACTAAAAAGAAATGAGCTACCAAGACATAAAAAGATATGGAAAAATTAAATATACATTATTAAGTGAAAGAAACCAATCTGAAAAGGCTCTAAACTACTATATGAGTCCAACAATATGACATTTAGGAAAGGACTAAAGTATCCTCCCAAAATGTTAGAGGCAGGGCCGGGGATTTAGCTCAGTGGTTCTGGCACCTGCCTCGAAAGTGTGAGGTCCTGAGTTCGATTCCCTGATACCAAAAAAAGTTAGAGGCAATGGAGGAATGAATAGGCAGAACATGGAGGACTTGGGAGGGGCAGTGAACTCTGATAGTATAATGTTGGATGCATATCATTATACATTTGTCGAACTCCTATATAAAACACTAAGAATGAACTCCATGGATTTAAAGTAATAATGTGTCAGTGTAGGTTCATCTGTCGTAACAATATACCACTGTGCCAGGGAATGTCAACAGTGGAAGGAGGTTTTACATATGCATTTAGTGGGTATACAGCAACTCTCTGAACTTTCCATTTAGTTTTGCTGTGAACCATACCATTTACCCCTCTCCCTTCCCCCTTCTCCTTTTTTAAAAGAGATTTCTCAAATCCACTCTTGGAAGTTTAGGTTTAGCAGATCTTGGTGGGGATTTAGAAATCTATCTGTTCCATAAATCCAACATATTTCTGATGTGCAGCCAGGTTTGAAAATCACTGGGGAGATATTGGCCTGATCACTCAAAATGTTATGTTTGCTGTTTGATTTTTCATTTATACTTCTAACTTCTGCTAGAAATCCTGGTATAATTTCATATGTATTAATTTATTAATTACAAATGATGCCTTTAAAACAAATATTTGCATTTATAGAGAGATATTTCTTTACTAAGTGCTTAAACTAACAGAAGCCCTCCTCAGAGGCACCTGTAATGATGAGGCTGTCCCAAAGCTCTGTTCCAACCATGCCTTCACACAAGCAAAGAAACAAAAAAGGGATGAACAATTATGATTCCATCATTCATAAATTCCATTTTCTTCGAGAGAACAAGAACCATTAACCATGGCCTGCAAACACATATAAAACAAAAAGCATGCTATGAGTAAAGAAAACGGATGATGGCCTGAGAAGCCCTGACATTCTTCCATAACTGAGGTATATTAGTCTCATTGCTTGGAATTTAGAAGAACAAACTGGGGATCATGGCGTTCCCAGAACAATACAGAAAAACATAGCTCTCTAGTTTTTAAAGGATGGAAATGTTCTCTCTTGAAACCCAGATGTTTTCTATCTTTCTAAGTTGCAATTATTTCAACACATGATTTTAGCTCTACTCACATCAGATCAGGGCCACCTGTTATATCCTCTACAAACTTATGAGAGATTTAATGTTGTTTGTATTTATGGTTTATTTAGAAAAGTCAGAATGCAGTTGAAAAGAGGTTTTTAAAGTCATCTTGATGCCCAAGAATGTGTATAGGGTAGATTAACAGATAATCAAGATACTGTGCTGTGTAAACATAAGCAAATCTAATTTTATGATTCATTACTACATAAATTTGGATATAACTAAGGGATAAAAAACTCATGACTAAAACTGTATGTTTGAAAGGCATAATATAACATCATTGGATTTTAAGAAAATTACTAACACTCCATTATAATGTATTTTACTATAGGATTATATTCTTTATTACCACAATTGATTTTATATATATTTAAATTTTCTCTAAAATTAAGTATTCACTCTGATATCAATAAAAATATCATACATTTATATAAATTTTATCACCTTTCTACTGGTAAAAAAATTTTGCAAAAGAGTCTTCAATCAATCAATTTTGATTTCAAGAGTAAATGTTTATTAAGCCATTATGAGCCAGGAACTATTCTATCAGCTAGGATACAGCAAGGAACAAAATACACAAAGTTCTTATTCTAGTGAAATGATAAAATAAATGTAGTTAACACTAAAAAATGAAAATGTTCTAGTAAACAAAAAATTATATAATATCACAATATTCACAAATTAGATTGAGCATATGAAGTAAATATTATAATTCATTATTGAGCACTTTAAAATTAACTGCAGGTGATGTTATTTATCATATAACAATTACTAGGTTGAGAGAGACGAGGAAAATAAAAGTCAACAGCACACTTCCTCATTCTACTCTTTTCTTTTGATTACTTAGGTAGAATTATAAATTAAGAAAGACATGCAGAAACCAACTACTAAGCCTAACATGTAAACCAAATTGGTTGAAACTTAAGGATATGAGTTTTCTTTCATTGTGGCTAAAACATAGTCACAAATGTGACTGGTTATGGTTTGCATAGCTTCACTTATACCCTTTTCCTTTATTATCCATGGAAATATGTGACAGAATTAGATACATTGTCATTATTCTCCTTTTAGAATCCCAACTATAACTCCTACTTCCTATCCTATTTTAATCTTGAATAAATATAATTTTTAAATATAGCAGGAACAAAAAGACCACTGTAAAATGAAGACAACTCTTTTCCATGTTAAATACAATGTCAAAGTGGCAGACTGGAAAATCTCTGCAGGCAAATGTGATGTCACTGAAGAAATCACACACTTACCTGTAGAGATTCTTCAGTCTGACAGATTCCAGCATCAAACTGTTTAATCAACTGTGCTTTTCTGCATGCAGTTCTTTGGCTTGGAATAAATCTAGCCAAATAACTAAATGATAGCTAACTTAATCAAACTTTGGCTTCACCTAAACCAAAGGAACTACATGCCTCAAAGTGGTTAAGTCTAAACTAAGGAGATTGCTTGTAACATGGCTTAAAAGCAGTTGTTATCAAAGTGCAACTACTGAACAAGAGTCATCAGAATCACCTGAGGACTGTTCTAAATTCAGTTTCTTTCATTCACAACAGGCTTCCTGAATCAGAAACTCCAAATGCAATATGTGCCTTAACAAGCTCTGTAGGCAATACTGATACATATTCAAGTTTGTGGCTACTGGCTTAAAAAAAACAAAAGATTACAACTGGAATACTGAACCCAAATCTAATGTATGAAAAAGTCAGATGAAGAAATAATATCTATTTATAAAACTATTGTCTAGAATTTATTTATTTTCTAACGTGATGATACTAATAAACATAAATATTAATAATGGAAAGAAACATCTTCCTTTAACTCTTACACTGCCAGTGGTATTACAGAGCTCTACTTATTTCCTTAGAAATAAAGAGCTAAGAAATCTTATTTAAGAATAGAAAACGTTTTTATGTTTGGGAGGATTAAAAAGGTACTGACATCATTCAAGTCATGAGCCATAATTCTTATTAGATTTTATTGCTACATTCTTCACACAGCTTTGGAAAGTTATTCCTAAGAGCACAAAATATGCACTCAGACTGCACACAGAGAATGAAAATGCTCTCACAATGAAGTTATTCTAGCCTGGCCGAGTAATACTTGAAAGAATCAAGACTTTTTCTTTATGTAACGTATCTTGACAAAATAAGTGATGACTTTATATAAATTTGCCCTTTTCAACATCTTTGCCCTCAAAATAGTTAAATTTGGCTATAAATTAGCAAATTTCTGTATATTAAAATATTTTCCTTTTTGATCCTATCAAAATTTCATGGCCAAAGTGTAAAAAAAATTAAAAATTGTAATTGAACTTAGATTTTAATGGAAATGAATAAACTACAAAATTTGATTCTTATACACTAAAATGTAGGGTCTGAAAGATTGGTATTCCTATTAACCAATAACTTCTAGTAGCATGTTAAAAAGTCATCTGCAGTTTCACTCTTAATTCACTTTGATTTTTCTGGACCACCCCAGTTTCCCATGATGTGATGGAAAAAATTGTAGCATTCAATAATTGAATTAGATCACACATAAAACAAGACTTACTCAGATTATAGTAATGAGGTTTGGCTCGTTCATTGAAAAGCAAGAGCTCAACTATGTCCAGAATCTCCAAAGACAGTACTAGAGATCAACAAGATGTTTTAGACACTTTAAAAGCCTTGAAGGAAGTACATTTCCTTAGATGAGGATGAAAAGGATCTCAAAATGTCAGCCTTCTTTACCTTTATTGGAATTAAATCAATTCAATCTTGATGCAGTTGCTGATCAGAAGTTCTGGTGGCAATCTTAAATGCTTTTGATAATAAAAGAAAATAATTATTAGCTGATATATGTGATCCAATATACAAAATCTTGCAAAACATGGAATTCCTTTGAAGGAACAATAAAAAGCAAAGATAGGGATTTAGTATCCTCCCAGGTAAGGTGGAAGGCTAGAGGGAGTATAACTGCTAGAAACAACTCATAGCTACTACTAGATGAAGCACTCTGTACACACTTTCTAATTTCCTTTTCTCACAAACCTAGTGAAACTATTTTTACAGTCCTGTTTTATGGGGCCGGGGATTTAGCTCACTGGTTCTGGCGCCTGGCAAGCACAAGGTCCTGAGTTCGATCCCCGGTACCAAAAAAAACAAAAACAATACAGTCCTGTTTTATGAATAAAAAAACTGAAGCTCAGAAAGACATAAATGAGAAAGAAAGGAATTATCTGAATGTACACAGCCCAACATCTGAGACAAAATAGTATGAAGGAACAAGCCTGGAACTATGAATCAGGAAACCTGGACTTTAAATATCAGATTCACCTACTTAAATTAAGCCTCTATGGATTAAATTTCCTAATTTTAAAACAAGCAAGGTATTCTGTTTTCTGTTTATGTCCTATATCTAAGAAAACACTAGTCAATTAAAAAGAACTAAAGAAAATATATGTTGTTATTCTGCTTGGGGAGAAATGGACAGGCTTCTGGCTGATATTTCTTGCCACCCTAGACTGCAACCATGGATGTGGAAAGTGTAAGAGAGAAGCTGCTGATGGGAGGAATAATTTCCTTCCTTTGGTCTCTCCTAAGGACATTGTCTTCCATCTTTGATCATCCTCTTTCCCTGGCCCAGCCATGTTCCTTTGTACCAGCCCTAGTAATCCCAAGAACACTAAACCTTCTTCTGACACATAGCTTCTCTGGAAGGACTGTGACAGAAAAGTCCACATGGTCCTTTCCTTTATGACCAAGTGACAAATTTCCTCCTCTCCTTTCAAGGATGGTGGGGTTTTCAATAAACATATAGCTAAAATACACCAGTGCCCAAGGACCTATGTAGAAGAAAAGCTTGGTTACCAAGTGCTACCTCTTAAGGACCTGAAATTCCTAACTGGAAACAATCTTGACAGATACTTAAGAAGCTCCATCATTCACAGATTTATAACATTCAGATAAAGAGAGGAGAATAGTTACCACTTCAACTCAGTTATTTATTTATTATGCATTATCTGTGTAGTAGGCATTTTATATACACAGTCCCATTTAGTCCTTAAAATAACTTTACAGTATATGAAGTTGAATGTTAATGATCCTATTTTACAGATGAGAAAATTGAAGCTTCTAGTGGCTTAATAAGGTCCTTGAACCAGGTCTAATTGATCCCAAAGCTCCAATTTTAACCATTTCCTGACTTTAAAGCCCAGAGATGAAGCAGCCAAAGGTCTTACAGCTAGTTAGTGGTGAACTTGAAATTAGACCTCAGTTTTCTTTGCACCATATGACACTTATTCCTAAAGAAGTTATTGAATTGCCTATATTTTTTCTAAAAGGTGCATGAAAGAATTGTTGAATCTGTCATAGCCAAATGAACAGATGACTCAAATCATAGCTGCTAAATTATAGCCCACTGGCTAGAGAGGACATCTGGGAAGGTTCTTATGAATTCTACATCTATTTATACTTTTTCCCTAATGGCTCAGTGTTAAAATCATGCCTTTCTATTGCTGAGGACAAAGCAAACACATTAGTATAAAAAAGATGCTTTATCCTTTTGTAATGTTGCTGGCAATTTAAAAATTAAATAAAGCAAAACAAACCATTAATATGTTTGTAGCACCACAGGAGTCATGGGGGTGGGGGTCATCTTAGACCAGGCCTGGTTTAGCTCTCATAAACAAATAAATGCACCATATTTATATGCATCATCAAATATACACATCACAGTTCAACTTTATCTTTAGCAAGGTTGAAAATGAAGAATCCTTTAAGGATATTACCATCTGAAAAGAACAGATAAACTTTCCATTTTGCAGGCTTTTTCTTTTCTGTCCTTGTGACTAGCCACACATTAGTGGCTATTATGGACAACCTTCTTCAGAGGACAAATGACTATCTACCAAAATAAAATATGTGCATAATGAAATCTGATCTAATAAGTATGACTAATTGTTGTACTGAATTGTAATATTGATTTCTTGAAGCAGCAGTAACTACAAAGGGACCTTTTTTGAGTGTCTTTAACTCAGCATTTGTTTTCCCCTTTATTTCTATTTTTCATCATGTTACCTATTTTCTTTCCTTTCTTCCATCTTTTGTTTGGTTGTTCAGAAGAATGGAAGTAAAATGCAATATAATTTTAGTTGATGTATAAAACACATCATCACTAATACACAGAATACTCTCTCTCCTGAGGCTCCAACCAGGAACTTCAAAAGAACTTAAAGTCATATTTCTTTGCACAGGTTATTGCTCTAGGAGGATCATCATGAGTTATATAAAAGGGTAACTTATCATTATCATCATTATCAACAAATATTTGCTAAGCACACAATGTGCTTGAAACAGTGCCAAAAACTATATTCTTAAAGACTTTAAGCAACACATTCCTTTTTTAAAAAATGAGGATTCCTCTTTGAACCTGTTTTCAATTCTAATACATCTTGGAGGTGCATTAAATTATCCATTATTTAAGTTTTTACTTATGCCTTATAATATCTCATTTTATGGAATTTTTTAATTTCAGGTGTTTTCTCTGACTCATTTTTTCTTTTAGAACAAGCCCTCTTTTTTCCCTTGATGCATAAAATATCCTAACTGGTTGCATTTGATTTTCAATATCTATGTTAGGAGGGCTCAAATTCATTTTAAAAACTAAGCATGTGAAAAATATGAATACTAAACATTTATAGAGATGGTAATGTTCTCTTTCCTGACCTGGATGGTGGTTACAAGGGTGTGTTCACTTTGTGATAATTCATCAAACTGCACACGTATGATTTCTGCATTTTTCCCTAAGTATGTTTACATCAGTAAGTTTAAAAATATGTATTTCTGAGGAATACTGACATTCCCTCCCCAAATACATGGAAACTCACCATCAGAATAGCCTGAGTATTTATTCTCCTTTTCTTACAGCCCTAATTTCTTACCCTATGGAATTTAATTCTTCAAACCTCATCCTAAGAGATTGTTTTAGAGTCCTAAGCCTTAGCCATCAAATATTCTCCCCTTAAGTTTCTCTCTCCCAAATGTATTTTCTTTCCTAGACAGGGCTCCTGTGTTCTCTAATAGATCCTGAATTCCCCTTAATACCTCCAAAATGACATAGAAAACATTTCTTTTTATTTTTCTTTACAGAAGTATCTCTAACCAGCCTTGCAGCTGCCTGACAAAGCTCTAGGTCTGCTTTCACAAGGGCAGACTTGATAACTTTCTCAGGTTCCTCTTCACAGAGGGTTAAACAATTATTTCTACACCTCCTGATTTCTCCCTGTTTTTTCTCTATTTTTCACCATATCTCTGTAACTTGTTTCCAGAAAATGAGCTCCATGTTTCCTTACCTCCATGTAAAGATACTGTGATTAGACATTCTACCATTTTCATTTGATTTAAGAATCTTTCTGATATGGTTATTGTCAAGATCAAATAAGATAATCTGCATGGAATTCTTAGTACAAAGCTAGGCATATGGTAATCACTCATTAATAGTAGTGTTTCATATTGTTTGTAGTAGTATAGTTCCATACTAGATATTATTGGGCACTTTACATACTTTCCATAAGTAGTCTTATGTAAACCTCTAACAATCCCATCAGATTGATTTTGAGATCACATTTCAAAATGAGAAAACAGATTTCTATAGGAAGTCAAGCCCTTCTGCTGGGTTACTAGCCATTTGATCATGGGGATGCGTTAGCTTCTGAATAACCACCTACTTGCAGGATGTAAATCCTGCCAGACCGTGCGTGGCACTCAATAAGAAGCCATTGAGTCCCAGTTAGGCACAGTGAGAATTCCAGAAGACATCCCAAACTTGGCTATTGCTCCAAGAATCTGACAATGGGTAAGTTAACCTTTTTGCAAACTTCTCCAACATTTTGTTATCAAGATTGAAGGGTTTACCTGCTTTAAGTACCTAGTCATCATCTACTCTTGTGTTTGTTGCCTTTAGCATCTCCTCCATCCTCCCAAACCAAGAATTCTCATAGAAAACTGGGACAAGCTTGCAGACTGAATTTTCTTCTCTCTTGCAAGAACCCTCAGGTATGTATTCTAAGCAAACTCCCCTAAAAATTTCCAGGACTAACTTTCTGTTACTCTAGGTGTACTCTACCAAAGAAGGTTAGGTATAAGCTGATTCAACAATTATAGTTATAAACCCACCAAGCCAGATCAATGGCTCATATCAATTAAGTTATTTATTGCTATGTCTCTGGTCTCCAGAAAGAGAACGGTTAAAACACTCTCTTTTGTAAGAAGGGGAGGTGATATAAACCAAATCTTAAGAGCTGTAACCCAATTATATATAGGCAATCCCTAGTGACTATTCTTATGGCAAATAATTTATTTCTAATTACCCATCATTATTATTATCCAGCCTGCCAATGACTTGTCTTGAAGAAATTATTTATTTATCTGCTTAGCTCCTAGTTTTGAAGAATGTAATGTATCTCTTGAAGTGGACCTGGCTTCTTTTTATGGCTTTGAAAACACTTAAACTGAAGAAGGCTAAAGCCTTTTTTATGGGAGCCATCCTTTGTATCAATAACATTTACAAATATGCTTGTTGTTAATTGTGACTACCTATTCAAGAATGTCTTCACCATTCAGAATGTGGGAAACATGCCAATGGGAAGCTCAGTTCAATGGAAGTTCCGGCTTTGACCTTGAGCTGGACGTCCACAGTATGACTCAAACTCCCTTCTTGTAACGCCTTATCTCTAGACACCATTCTCCATGAATCCCTTTCTCTATTCGTAATCACTTGTAATCCTCATGCTCTTCTGTCTGACCTTCCCTTCCCACAAAAATCCAGAAAGTATGCACTTGATAAACAAACAAATCCATTGACAAAGATAGATGTATTCAGGGCAGCATTACCAAAATTCAGCTGCAAACTGGTATTTAACAAAATTCTGGCCAAAATTCTCATTTGTAACTTCAGCCAACTATTTTATTGAAACCAATCTAAAGCCAAACATTTTTTGAATGCCTACAAGGCTACAAAAATAATAAATAATATTTGGCTCTGTTTCAAACTTTAGAGGATTCAGAGTCTCAATCACAGAAAGAAGACAAGTAAAAGGAAACAGGCCTGAAAAGGGATATTGCTTAGTGACTCCAAGTCAGAAATCAAACAGAGGAAGTTCATTGGGGAGCATTCAGGCTTACCACAACTGCTAAGAAATTGAAGTATGGAAGAAAGGAACATTGAATGGGTTCTGATATGTCCTCTTGGTCATCAGCACTTTTTCAATTGGCTTTTATAGATTCTCTGCCTTTGAGTTAATTTCTAAAAGGAGGAATGCAAAAGACAATCAAATGTGACAAAATTAGTACAATTTCAGCACTAGCGTACTTAGTATCCAAGCACCTGAGATGTTTGAGAATTTAGACCTGAAGCCTAAAGGAGGATTAGATTTCTAAACAATTTGTCTCATGAAGGAGTGCTAAAATCTATAAAGAAAAAACTGAATTATAAATATAGCTTATATCAACTCTTGATGCTTCAGGTTGTGAAAAACCAAAAAAATCACACAAATTCAGAAGCCCCTAAAACCAGACATACAGACACTTCTTGTCTTGTCTTATACCACAACCTACCCCTATATATCAATTATAAAATAGCAACTCCAACAAGGTACAAAAGTCAACCTGAAAAACTTCTAGAAGAAGGAAAATGAAGACACAAGCACAAAAATAAAAGTGGAATTTGGATATTTTTTTCTAAAATCTAGACATTGTCAAAATAATAGGACACATGGTAACAAAATTAAAATAAAATGATTTAGTGTTTATTGAGGATATACGTATCAGATTCTGCACTAGATACTCACACATATCATACTCAGTTATTAACAATCTTATGCACAAGTACTGTATTAACACAGAAACCAAGGCTCCAATAAATAAAATAATATGCCCTAAAGCCCATAGCCAGTAAGTGGAAGAACCAACAATCACACTCAGGTCCACCTCACTCCAAAGCTCATATACTTCTCAACACCCCATCTCCATTGCATAGCCAAGCTAACAGCAGGAAGAATAATCCTTCCAAGTTTTTAGGAGGTATTCAGATAATTCTAACTTTGAAAAAATATCTCTTGTCTTCATGGAAATATTAAAATGACCACCATCTAAACAAACCCAATGACTAGATAGGAATTTATTTACACCCAAATACAAATTTATAGAAAATCTCCAATAAAACTATGATCACAGAAATATGTATTTAAATCCCCTCCAATATATCTATAGAGACATCTTTCCATGAGTTTGGTCATATCCCTTGAATATTTGAATAGAATGTATAGATAGTGTTAGCAACAGCTTACTCCTTCATATTTTACTCTGCTACTATTTTTCAGTTTATCTGACCTATGGGCTATCTGTCCACATTAGTAAAACTTAAGTTAATAAAAAACCACTTTGCACAAGTTTCTTCCTTCTTTTTTTTAAACATCCATATCAGTAACCCAGTAAGGTTGGCAAGGCTGCAAAGTATACACGTCTGTGCTTCTATCAGAGACTTTTTCTTAGCAGTTGTGAACATGATATGACATATGGTGTGGCTTAATACACAGCTGTTTCCTCTTCCTAATCAACAAACAGTACACTATCTCTATTTCTGATCTCCTTTTTTCTAATGTTCTGCAGTAGAATTATCATTTTATTCATGCCACCTCTTTGCCATCACTTTTCAGTGTAAAACTTTCTAGAGAGAAGGAAAAAAATCAAATCTAAGGCTAAGAGAAAAGAAAAAACTGAACCGTCATCCATGTTGCTTTGAAGTTGGGTCTGATTTATCCCACCCACTAAGAGAGAAAAGACATGAGAAATAATAGACCTTTGTTTTTAGATTAAGATAAAATATGATTATTTTTATCTTTAGAATTTTGACTCCTAAAAATAAATTTAAATCTATTAACTGTGAACTAAAAATCATATTTTAAAGTATAAAAATAAACATAAAATTATACTTAAGCTCCTCATAGTAGTCTGTATGATTATGCTTTTACTTAGGAGTTCATATGAAGAACAAGATCACATTTACTTGTATTGTATCAGTTGTTTTATAACTTTATATTTACCCAAACACTTTTTCATGAAAAAGCATTTTTCTAATTCATCAAATTATCATTATCCTAACTCTATCAGTTTCAGTTATTCATGAATAAGTTATGGACTAGAATCTAGAATTCTTTGGTTCAACAAATTTTATTGAATATTTATTAAGTATCAGATGCTATACTGACAATGCTATAACCAAAAATATAAAGATGAATAAGCATGGTCCTTACATGTAGAAGTTTACAGTCTAGTGAAAAAGACAACATGTACTACTAGGCATGAAAACATCGTTGTGTATAACAAATGTTAAAATAGAGAATCTATACACTGAATGGGATTGAAGAGAGAAGAGACTGGAGAGAGAAGGCAGTGTCTGATAGTTTTCAATGTACACCCATCACAGAGGTGTACGTGTGAGTGTGTGTATGTATTAGAGGAAAAGGAAACCTTTTCAAGCATGAGCAAGAGCAAAATACATATCATTAGGTTCTTAGAATTTCAAAGAGTTTGTTTTGGCTGGAATCTACAATATAAGAGAAGAAATGGTCTAGTATGATATAAGGTAGAGAGAAGGGCAAGGGGAAATCCCCACCAAAGTGCAAATCCCAGCCCCCAAATTGGACCTACTGAATCAAATATGGAAGCAGGTTCTAGGATCTGTATTTGAGTAAGTTCTCCTGGAGTTTCTCATCCTCAGCAAAGTTGAGACACCTGATCAGATAGTGGAGAACCTCTAAAGGCATCCTCTCTTCCCTCCTTTCATTGATCATCTCACCCACCGAAAGAGCAAGGGCTCATGGCCCAAAGCCACTTAGCTGTAATAAAGAAACACAGGCAAAAGGGAAGACATGAAAACTACCAATAGAAAGATCTCCATTGTCACACTGTCAATTGGGTGAGTATATGATCATTACTTTTTTCCTGTATGTAATTGCTGGTTTTCTTGTCTGAGGAAATGCTTCACAAGTATATCTTTAGTACTTCCAAACTATTTACAAAGGTTGTTTAAAAATGGTTTTCAATTGAGCCTTTGGTTTTACATTCACCCATACTCTTTCTTGTTTGTTTTTCTTATTATGTAAGGATTAAACAGAATTGATCCTTTCTAAAGACAAAGATTACACTTTTATGACATAATAAGCAATACTGCATATGCCAGAGATCTGTTTAAAATAAATCTCAGTATAGCCAAAAGAGTAGCTTGTTTTGTCTCATCAGGAAAAATGCAGAGATATTCATGAGATTTGAGGGTCAGTTCACCTGGTACACCTGGTGCTTCCACCTAAGGCACCTATGTGTCTCTGCTCGCACAATTTTTCTTGCAGGTCTAACTTGGATGGCTGTGAGTTGGCTTAATCTCAGCTGGCAACTGTGAGATGTTCATATAATCCCTCACAGTGGTCTCTGGGATTATGCTAAACAGAGCAATTTCCTTACCCTCGTGGATTGAATGACTTGCATGGCAACCAAAACTAGAGTACTAAATTTCTATTTCATGACCAAGAAAAAGAACAGTGAGAGCAACTGTGGCATGCTCCACTTTTTAATATTACTAAAGTCTTTTTCTAAAGTGTTGTTGTACTAGAAAGGAAATCAGCCTTGGGAATTAATTGCCTTTATTGAATGCACTTGCTACTTATGGTGCTCCTTCAGTTCTACTTAGTTTTGTAAAAACTTACAACCAAGGAGTTTAGGTTTTAGAAGCTGAATTCAAAATGTTTTCCCTGTGAAAGCTCCTCCTGCTTTTTTGTGGGTACTACTCCATCAAATTCCAAGCAATCCAAAAGGGGATAATCTCCTACAAGGCCTTCCTCAAACTTCAACTCCCCAGATTATCACTTTTAATCACCTTTTTCATTCCTTTCATGAATACTTCATATTCAACTGTCCTGATTAATATGGAAGTTTAGAGTATGCTATATTTCAGGCTGAGGTTGACAAAAGACTTTGAGCTGCAGCTAACTAATTCTTGTTGACCATGGGAGAGGGTATAAACCCCGTTTTCTGCAAAAAGAATGAGAATGTAATTCCTGGAGGTGAAAAATCAAGGCCATTTCTCTTTGTTTACAAGATAATTCAAGACAAAATCAGATAAGTCAAATTTATAACTAAATGTATGATTACACTTTATAACAAAATTATTAAAGATGGTATTTCAAAAGCCAGGGCTTCTTGTTAATCTTCAGGGCTTATTAGAGCTCCTAACAGCTGAAACTTTCCATGTGCTATCTATATCCTCCTGTTAGTTGAAACAACCATTTTTTCAAATATTTAAAAATTCCCAATTCCAACTTCTAATGAAAATTTTTTGAAAAGAAAAGAAGATGAATATAATGCAACAGAGTAAGAAATATGTTTTAAGCAGTTGAGTACATGCTGTGTGTCAGGAACTTTTGTTATTGGGCTTGGGTGTTCTATATGTATACAGCTGCTGTCTTCAGGTGCTGGCAGTATCCTCTGCACATGAAGCAACCAGAGGAGCTTTTAAAAATCCCAATGTCAAAAACTCCACCACAAATGAACTAAATCAGAGTGCCTGGAAATACAGCTGGGCATCATTACTTAAGGGCTACTCGGGATTCTAATGTACAGTGAGAAGTAAGAATTACTATGTTTTAGCCCAACAAGAATGCTGGGGGTGGAGTGAAGAAAAGGTTTGGAGGCAGTAGCTGAATGGACCATGATAAAGGTTTTGAGTTTTAATCTAAGTAACTTGAGAAGCAGTTAGGGAGTTTTCATTAGAAAAGTAGCATGAACTGTTTATCCGTAGCATATTTTGATCAAGTAGGCTTTTCTCAGAACCTAATCATTTATAAACCCTGAAGAAAAATGTTTATGGTAGATTCCAAATAACTTCCTTGCAATTTTCCTTTAAGAATGCTAGACCACAGAATAGGCATGTTCCAACCAAAAGAAGCTAATATGAAAAAAACAAAAAAGAAACTGGCTCAAGAATCAGGAGCCCAAGTTCCTTTAGGTAACCAATTACTGAGTTCTTTTTTTTTTTTTCTTTAAATCACTTCTCTTTTCACACATGTATACTCCAGTCTTTGGTTTTATTACTCAAAGCAAGTTATTCATGCCCAATAATAGTTTTTAAATTTTAACTTAATTTTTCATTTGTTTATTTTGTTGTTTTGTGGCTCTGGGAACTGAACCTAGGGTTGCAAGCTTGATAGTCAAGGGTTCCAACACAGAGCTATACTCTCAGACCCTCCTTTTAAAAAAATCATATATATATATATGATTGAATTCAGAGCCTATGAAGATTGAACTCAGGGCTTTTGTGCCTTTGCACTGAGTTCCATCCCGTCTTTTTTATTATTATTATTTTGAAACAGGGTCATGCTAAGGTACTAAGTTGCCCAGGCTGAGCTCAAACTTGCGATCCTCCTTCCTCAGCCCCCCAGCATGCTAGGATTACAGATCTGCACCACTGTGCTCTGGAAATATGTATATTTATTTATATTAGTGCATATTAATTTATAGAATATTGAATTTCATTTTTCATTATATATATATGCATATAACACCCTTTTTAGTATCAATCTTCCCTAACATTCTCCCTCATACCCTCCTCCCCTCTTGTCTAATACAACCTTGTTTTTGGGGGGTTTTTGTGGTTTTTTTGGTACCGGGGATCGAACTCAGGTCCTTGCGCTTGCGAGGCAGGCAACAGAACCACTGAGCTAAATCCACAGCCCTAACCTTGTTTTTTTAAGCTTAAAAATTCCACAATTTCATCCTGGAAGTAATTATCATAAAAATAAGGAAAAGATATGGCCTTTCTGTCAATGAGACAGTCAAAATATTGTTCATAAAACTGAGTTTCATTTATGCCAGTCCTCACTGAGTATGGAGTACAACAGGGTTTTCACCCCTTTAGTAGTGAGCCTATGTCTTGTTCACTACATGAAAACTTACAAGGAACAAGTCTTCAATGTTCTAGCTCAACTTCTTAATCACCAGCACCTATAGCACAGCATTTGTTAACCCCCTTTTCCCCATGCCATGAAGACTATGCAGGTCAAGGTGAAAGCAGTCAGCCTTTTAACCAAAGCAAAAAGGAATAGCTTATTACCAATATCCAGACTTGGACTTTAGATATTTAGTGAATCTGTAATCTAAGCTGTTGTTGTGACCCTAAATTCTCTTTCTACTCAGTAAAGATGATATGTTCTGTTCACCCTCCAGCCTGTGTGTTCCTGTCTGACCATGGATTTACAACTCACCTAGGCTCTATATGTTGTTCATGTCAGACCTCTGGGGGGGACTTGCCTTTTCCTTTAAGATTCACCGGGGCCACATTCCTCCCTCAGCTACTGGTTACTTGGGGCCTCCTACAAGGAGCATTCAAAGACTGCCCCTTTACATACTTCCTGAACCTGACTCAGTGCCCCAGCATGTAGTGCACATTAACCTGGGGTCCCAGAGCTTGTACTAATGTTCTCTAAGTATCCCTGGCTTCTTCCTTAGGTACAGGCATGTGCCCCCTCAGGCATGCCACCGCCAGAGTGGCAGAAATCTGGAGATCAATTATTTCTTCCTGATCTGGCTTTCCATGCTATCTGAAAGTTTCTCCAACTAAGGTCTCCTTTTAGGTCAGTTCTCCTGGAAATTTCTTGGCCAAACTGTCTAAATATTAGAAAGCAAAATTTCTGGCTTTGGTAACCCTGTCAGGTACCAAATTTGAGCTGATCTAGTTCATTCTTCAAAAGGTTGCTTGAAGTCCAGACTTCTAAATAGCCACATTCTCCTTTGGAAATTGTAGCAGTATTTAATCCTTAGTCTCACAAACTTCTGCACTCAGACCCAGCACTCTGCTAAAAATGAATATCATAACCCAGAGAGAGTAAGGACAGGGAAGAAGCAAAGCTCAGGCAACAATCTTGACCAAGGAGAAACCCTAGCTTCAACTTCTGCTCCTCACAAAATACACCTGCTTCTCATTTTCCATTCAACAAGTACTTAATGCCAGTGAGTTAAAGGCCTCTGTGTTGGGAAAGCAGCTATGAACAAATCATCTCTGCTCTCAGTCAAGTGGAAGTGTTGGTGGTTAAACTAATTGTAAGTATCTCCATTGTAAATATAAATGGTTAACTGATGTGAACAAATAACAGGAAGACCATATGTATAGACTGACAGTGAGATAGCAGTTTGAAGAATGGACAAGAACTTGGGGAAAGGGAAGAATTTTCTCAACTCTAGGAATGGAAAAGGCTGTCCTATGGTTTGTCATCTGGCATGAACATACTGAGAGGATCTTTCTGAAAAACTCAAGAAATACTCTAGACAGGGTGAACTTTTGCTTTTTTAGTTCAACTATAGACACCTCAGTTGCTGAGAAATGCCCTTCCACCTATACAGTTCTCCAAAAATGGCTCCAAACTGAAAGCTGGATTTTTTGGATTGTGTTATAAAATGGCCAGTCTCTGAATTCTCTTCCTTTCCTAGCATTTTACACTACCTATGGGCATATTTGCTGTATTTCAAAACTCAAACAATGATTAATTGACAGAAAACAACAGAGCTTCTATTCTATGATTTTTCTGGAGTTAAAAAAAAATGAAAACAGAAAGTTTCAAATGTACTTCTAAGAGACCTATAGTAACATGATGAAGTCCAAAACCCACATTCCTGATCTACATTAACTACTAGTACTTGGAATGTTGTAGCTGATTGAGAGTCATTTCTACTCATCACACTTACTTATCAAGGTCCTATTTAAGATTAGCTGTTTCTCAGACCAATTGCGCATCAACTGGAGACTGGATGAAGAAGATTTTTTTTTATAAAATGGAGTACTACTCAGCCATAAAGAATGAGAAAGTAGAGACATTTATAGCTAAATGGATGCATATTGAGGCCATACTTTTAAGTGAAATAAATAGGACACACATGTTCTATTTATAGTTTCTCTGGTGTGAGAAACTGAAAGTGTAAATAAGGATCAAAATGTATAATAGATAATGTGAAATAGGAAGAAAAGGTCCAAAGGGGAAGGGGAAGTAAAATAGACAGGGTTAAGGAAAGAAGGGAAAGGAATAAATATGAGAAAAGGAAAAATGGTAACAAAGTCTTTGTAAATAGGGAGGGGTGGAGAGGTTGAAGGAAGGGCAGGGGAATGGGGAAAATAATAAGAACCAAATATATTATGTAAAGGTACCAATTCCCAATAATGAATGTCAACATATTGTACACGTAAAATGTACCAATAAAATTAATGAATTTTTTAAAAAATCACCTGTTTCCCCAGAGTCTCTGAGAAACTAGCACAGTGGTTCTCAAATTGGAGTTCCTGGACCAAATCACCAAGAAACTTGTTGAAAATGCCAGTTTAGGGGCCCTATCTCAGATCTGCCAATTCAACAGCTCTAGATATGGCTCACAGCAATTTGCATTTATATAAACCCTCTGGATGAGTCAACTATGTGCCCAGTTTAGAATCACTGGCCCATAGGACATTTTCACTTGAATCCCGCTTTCCCCACTTGATTCTCTGGAGCAGTTTATAGTTAAAGATGACATTCTCATATTCTTCCATCCAAACCACCATATTGTGGTTCTCAGAGCTTTAAAAACTTGCCACAGTCTTATACTGCACACTCCAGATACCCCCCCCCAAAAAAAAGCCTAGAATTGTGTCATGGGGAAAAAAATTGAGCTTCTGTCTGGTTATTCTTGATAAATTACATCTCTTGGAGAAAATTGCATAGAGCATATTTGCATCAATCAAATCTTGAGGGATCCTCTTCCCCACCTTTCATTTCCTAATCATATTCCATTTCAGAGCGCAAATGTAACAATACCAACTGATTTCCCAGCTACTACTAGAGTTGTTAACCAGTTCCCTAGTCTGTTGACTAACTGCAAAAACCAAAACCTATCCTACAAAGAAACCATAGTAGCTCTAGGGGGATATCATGATGGGCTCACTTTTGTTCCTTGTATTGGCATTTCTTCTCCAAAAGTAAGTCTTTAGATGCCCAAGACCACCATGCTTACAAATCTTTTGGCTTTACTCAAATATTCTTATATATCTTAGAGAAATTTTGGGCAAACAATTGAGTTTGTATATTTGATTATACATAAGATTCTAGAGAGAAACAATAAACTACAAGTTCTTATTTGAAATACTTTAATATACTCCATGTTTGCACTATTTATAAAAAAAATAGTAAAACCTTAACCCTTGGACCTATTTGGAATCTATATATATAAAGGCCACCTGGCAAGTAGTAAGTAGACTCTTGGGTCTTCATATCTACAATCTCTAACGAGAAGCTCTACCTCCATTCTATTTCCAAATTCCTTATTCAATTATTCCCTAAATTTTATGTCCAAAATAACCCATGTAAACCAACATTTCCATTGAGCAGGATGAAGGATTTTTTTAAGTAATGTGACAGTCTTTCATTCACTCTATATTTGGGTAAATTCTATAGAACTTATTAGAATTTTAAAGTGAGAGCTCCCCAAAATCTAACCTGCAAAATAAACAATAAAGTAGAAAACTAGTTACATTCTTGCAGTTGTATGAGTGATCGTTACATTCTTTTTTTTTCTTTTTTTAAAGTTTATTGGTACATTTTAGGTATACAATATGATAACGTTCATCATTGGGAATTTGTACCTGTACATGATGTATCTTGGTTCTTATTTTTTCCCCATTCCCTTGCACTCCCCTTCAACTTTCCCATCCCTCCCTATTTACAAAGACTTTATTTCCATTTTTTCCTTTTCTCATATTTTTTCCTTTCCCTTCTTTCCTTTCCCCTACTCCTACCACTTCCTCCTCCCCTTTAGACCTTTTCTTCCTGTTTCACATTATCTATTACACATTTTAATTCTTATTTACACTTTCAGTTTTTCACACCAGAGAAACTATTCAGTATTTACACATGTGTGTCCTATTTATTCCACTTAAGAGTATACATTCTTCTTGGTGTCATGTGCCTTCCAAATCTACTACTTCTAATTTTAACCTTATCTCTTCAATAAAGTAGAATTCTGGTAAGGTAAAAATGACATGATAAGGAAACTTTTAGACACGATGGATATGTTTATTACATTGATTTAGGTGATAATAATGCAAGTGTGTACATATGTTCAAACTCACCAAATTATATACATTAATTACAGTTGTTTTTATATACCAACTATTCCTCACTAAAATTTGGGAGATGGAGAAACACTTACCTTCAAAATGAAATGCAGGTTATTCTAGTCAATGAATCTGAAATTAAATGATACATTAGAGTTATCTTAGTAAAATCCACTTTAGAAATTTATTATTTTATAAATTATCATGACAAAAAATGAATGAGTTGCTTAAAGAAGGCTATTTTTAAAATACCTTTTCTAAAAAATACTTATCTATACTCATTTTTCATGAAATAAATGATTATGTTGAGTCTTATATATCTATATTTATAATATCTCTCTTAGTAAATAGGGGAAATATTCATCAGTATAACTTTGGATTGCTTTATTACACAATATTATAGTTTCTTAACCACAAATTTCATATAAAGGAACAAACAAGAACAAGTTGCTGTATTTGGAAATAAATGATATTTAATATAATCATTACACAGTTTTTGATGTCGCAGATACTGCATCAGGAACTGATTGGTTAAGAATCAGTCACCATCAGTTCCTAATGCATTGCCTTCAGCATCTAAACAAGCACCAGTACACACCTTAGGTTAGATGTGCTATAATAAGTTCATGGTCATCTGATAAAATAAAAACTCTTAATTTACCCCTGAAAAAAATTGTTTCTACAAGCAAGATGATACCAAGATGCTAAAACACCTATCATTAGCCTACTGCTCTTGTGAATTTATCACTGAAACCAAAGATAACCTAGTTTTGTGTTTATCCCTATAATACACTGGTACCTTCCTTGCTAAATAAAACAACTAAAAAGTTGCTTACCATCCGTGTATCTTGAGAAAAAAATTAGAAGACTTTTTCTATGTTTATCGTTACCTATTTCATTTAATTTGAGGTCTTACAGGGTTTAAATATGTATTGCTATTTAAACAGAGAATACTTCCCATTAGTACCACTAAAATATCATTATTAAAAATGCCATAAAGCAATTGCTTTGAAAAATAGCATTTTAGTTAAATTCTGCTTTCAACTAATCTAACTTCATTTGTATTTCTACCATGTTCTAGTGGGAGAGTTAAGGTAGTTTGACCAACTCATTTTACTTCACTTACTATATCACTTTTAAAGGTTTATTGGACACCTATTATGTGCCAGGCACTATGTTGGCCTTGTGATGTACCAGTGAACAAAAGAAAATCACAACTCTAATGGAGCTCATATATTACTGCAACAAAGGGTGCAGACTGAAAACCTAATTTAAAATATTCACTGTGAAAAAAAAAATATTCACTGTGGAATCAAAGAGATTTCAGGGAAGCAACAATCTTGAAATAAATATGCATTAACATAGATTGACCATTATGGTGATATAAGTAATTACACAATTTTGTGGGTGCTTACCATATAACTATATTCTATACAAATGCCATATATTTTCTCATAGGTTGAGCTGAATATACCCCAAAAGGGAGAAAGTCTACTGTGCAGAATCTCTGAGTAGTCTTTCCTGCAGGTGCTGTAAGACATAAATTTAATTTTTATTAAGTTTAAATGCAATTTGACAATAAACCATATGACCCAGTTCTAGTGGAATACTGCATTAAAAAAATAAGCAAAGGACCATAAATAATTTTTTAAATAATTCTCACTTTTATTCATATCTGACAAAAAGCATCAAATGAAAACCAATTCATAATCTTTAGTAATACTTCTAAAAATCTCCTCTATTGTTCTTAGTGCCCTTGCAGTTGCTCCTGAGCCTCTCAATTTCAACTATGAAACCCCTCCCACTTATAAAAGCCCCAGCCCATTTGCCTTACCTCTTTATTTTTCCCTCCTCTTTTCCGCCCAGTTCTCTCTCTCCTCATTTACCTCCTACAGAAACAGGCCCAAATTCACTGTTGCCCACCAATCAGAGTATAGGCTTATGGAGGTCAGGTTATTGATAGAATTTCAGCCCCAGTCCATCTCCCAGTGAACCCAGTGGATTCCCAAAATTAGACTGGTTATTTCCCCAGTTCCAGAACATACAATTAGAATACACAAACTTAACAGCTGACAAAATCACCTCATTGATATCCTGGCCTGTAGAGTGCATGCTATCATAGTGGGAAAGACCAAGTAGAAGCCACTAAAACAGCTTCTACCTAGAAAAGTATAAACCAAAAGTAATTGCAGGAGGGATTTCATAGATTAGGGGCACCACTAACCCTGAGGAGATCACAGGACAGTTGTTACCCCTTAACAATATGTAAGAAGAGTTGGTTTATCTCTTTTGAAGAAATTTTCTGGATCACACTTGCATTTTGGCACATGGTTCCCATGGGTTTTACATTCTTGGAAGCCACAAGTCCCCATGCTATTCAGAAATATTTTCAGAGCACCTTCAGGTACAACACACTGTTCTAGGTACTAAAGAGATAAGACAAAGTTACTGGATTCATGGAGGAGGGGGGAAAGGGCAATAAAAAAAGAAATAGAAAATAATTTCAGAGGATGTGAAATGCTGGTAAGGAAATAAAACATGCAATAAGATAGTGATTATAGTGGTGGAAGGTTGCAGCACTTTAAGAAATGGATGGTCATAGAAAACTGCTTAAGAAGTTATATTTGAGCTGAGTCAGAAATAGGAGGCCAGTACTGTAAAGAATGAAGAAGAAACCTTAAAAAGGAGGTGGGCTGTTTATCCATTTGGCTTTTCCAGTACTTTTTGTATTTGAGGAAATAAAGTGGGAGTTGTCTCTTTTATTGCTTTACCTAATAATTCCACTTAAGGAATTTTTTTTCTCCTGAAAACCTTGGATTATGAGGGTTAGCAGATCATAATAAGAGGTATTTCTAACCAAGTTATGATTTTGTGATATAAGGGCCTGCTTCTATAGCTGATCAGATAGTCTATGCTGATAATTGTGACACAGTCTATGTTCCAACTTGTGATTGTTAATCCTGTTGCCAATTTCATCAAATTAATGCCTATTTCAAGGGTCTCCAATCCCCATTCTGGTTCATGGCCTGTTAGCAATTGGGTTGCACAGCAGGAGGTACACAGTGGACAAGTGAGTTAAGCTTCACCTGTCTTTATAATTGCTCCCCATTGTGTTACCCTCTGAACTCTGCCTCCTGTCAGAACAGTTGAAGGATTAGATTATCATAGGAGGGTAAATCCTCACAAAACTTCTTGCAGTACTATGGATGTAAGGTGGAAAGGCTTAAAGAACTTTGTGAAATGCTTTGACATCCACAGCACAGAAGTGAAATTTGGTCATAACCAGCAAATAAGTACCACCGCAGAAAATGCACCACCTGAGGTGACTTTCATTTCCAGGGAAGCAAGTGACAAACCACAATGTTTTAACTTGTCATATGTTCAGCTAAACAATCTCTAATCCTGCTGTGCTTATTTGGAACAGAGGCACAGAGTAGGCCTGTTACCCATTACCCATTACCCACTGAACTGGACTTGGGAACAACTTGAAAATGGGGACAGTGGCCCATGTCATGGATAACAAACCACAATCCACATGAATATCCTTATTTATAAATAAAAGGCCCTCTGAGAATCCACATGATATCTGAATGCTGGATGGCACATCTGAAAGTGCTGAGAGAGCTGAAAATCACACACAGCCAAGCAAGTCCCTGCTGAATACACATCTAAGGAGCTTTGCATGTATTGTTTATTCCAGCAACTTTATGGAATAAATTGCGTACAACAAATTAGTTTCAGATGGTAGGATATGAATAACTGATGTGCAGTATAAAGGAAGGTGAACTCCTACTTTTGACCCAACTGCTTCCCTTTTTGGGCATCTTAGACTTAAAATCCAAATGCAATTCATTTTTCAAATGTGGTGGAGATCAGAAAGTTAATAAGTGGTGAGGATTAGAGATTTTTGAAAAGCAATTCATGAGCACTGTTAACTCGTTATATTGCCCTATGATTCTTGGTTACTGCATGTTAAATCATGGGTAAAACTGAATCCATCCTCCTCTGTCCCTTCATTATGCACAGCAATAAAAAATAAATCCCTCCTGACATTTTCTACTTATGCAAACATCTCATAATAGATTCGGCTCAGCACACTTAAAACTTCACTGCCTACCACCCTGGGACAATCATTTAGAGTCTTGAAAGAGACAAATTGTTTCTAGAATTTTTTTTTTTTTTGCTTTTCTGTTGTTGGGTTTTTTGTTTTGCTTTTTTTGGAGGAGGAGAGTGGTGCAGGGGACCAAACCCAGGGCCTCCAGCATGCTAGGCAAGTGTTCTACCACTGAGATATAACTCTAACCCCATAGAATTACTTTTTAAAATCAACACAGTAAAATTGACTCTTTTTGATGTATAATTCAATAATTATTACTGCATATAGAGTGTCATGGGGCCACCACTGCAATCAGATACAGAACAGTTACATCAACTCCAAATTGTTGGATGCTACAACTTTTTAGTTCCCCATCTGCTTTTAAGTATTGAAAAACCACCGGTCTGTTTTGTTCTTTTGGTTTTATCATTTCAAGAATGTCACATAACCTATGTAATATAACTCTTCACTCAGCAAAATGTCTTTGAGATTTTCCAAGCTGTTGCACACTTCAAGTCTGTTCCTTTGCACTGCTGAGGAGCAGTCCACTATATAGATGTACCAAAGCTTGTTTTTTCCATTTACCCACTGAGGGACATTTGAGCTATTTCCATTTTTAATTAATTATGAATAAAACTGTTGTAAACATTTATGTATCATTTTTTGTTGTGAATGTCAGTTTTCATTTCTCTTTGGTAAATACCTAGTGAGATTGCTGATTCATATGGTTCATGTATCTTTAACTTTATACGAAACAGCCTGTCTTTTTCCACAGCTGCTGTACATAATGTCTCTTTTTAAGAAAAATAAAAACTACTAAAAGTGACTTACCAGAAGCACATTCACTTGTTTAGATGATTCAAATAATGGCATTCACCATGAAAAATTATAGTTGCTAAAATAACCAAAGCCACTTGATTTCACTTTTTTTTGTACTTAAATTGTAGAAACATAAGGCACTGAAGAATCTACTTATAAATTGGGAAATTTTAGTGATTAAGGGAGAACCAGGAGAAAATTTTCACCACAGCCACATTAAGCAATTTAACCAAGTGTCATGTTCATTAAGTGCTATTTTCAATTCATAAATAAATCTCCCCTTCCTTCTCTCCAAAAATGCCCACCTCAGGATAATTACATAAGAAAATGAACCATAGCAGCAGCAAGAAAACGTTAACAGTTGCTACTTTTCAGTTGTTACTTTCATGAGAAATATATGTCCAAGATACCACTCAGGAGACCACTGATTTGAAAAAAGCAATTTCTCCCAAAAATGAGCCACTCAAGATGGCTTATTCTCTTGGACATGCTGAAAACAGGAAGAAGTTTGATGACATTTTTTGTTCTCATATAATTATGTATGGGTCCAAAGACGAGATGCAGGGACAGAAATTAATCTATAATGACAAAAATGAAAGGCAGTGACTTGCATTAGCTCTCCCTATAGAGGGCTATACTCTCATCCACATATAGAGCATTCTTAGTGAAGTTAATGGAAGGAGAAATCTTGCAAAAAAATTGGAATACAGAACAGAGTAATAATTTTCCTTATTAGATAATAATACTAACACTCATTACTAGCTACCTCCTACTACAGCTATCAAGTTCTGTTCTGAAAGCTGTATACACAGGGTCTCATTTTATCTCTAATTTACAGAGTAGAGATTTCTCTCCTGTATTAGTCAGCTAAGGGGTACCATAATAAAATATCATAGACTAGGTAGCTTAAATAACAAGAATTTATTTCTTACACTTGGAAGTTGGAAATTCTGAGATGAAGGTTCCTGATGAAGATTCTCTTTGGCTTGCACATGGCCTCATTTTCACTGTCTTTGCATAGTAGGGGCAAAGTTCACATTGTCTCTTCTCATAAGGGAATGAATAATTCCTTACAACTTCATCTAGCTCTAACTATTTCCCAAAAGCACCATCTCCAAATATTAACTGAAGGCTAGGATTTCCACCTAAATTTGGGAGGAGGGAAAAATTCAGTCCATACTATCCACTGTACAAAGAAATTATGTTTTAACAATCTTAAGAATGTATAATGGATCATTTAGTCAGCAATCAGCAGAGTTTTAATTTGAACTCTGGGCTGCCTGACTTCAGAGAAAAATATCTATTTATTGACCACCATTAAGGGCCAGGAACATTTACATAATATCTCTAACGTTCCTAGAAAATCATCCAAGGCTTTTCCTAATTTTTTCCATTAATAATTATGGAAACTCAGCCACAAATAGTTAAACAGCTATTCACAACCTACCATTTAAACCTATTTACCCACTCATAATATTTTTTATGAACAAATGAGATCCTCAAATCAGTATCATCATCATCATCATCATCATCACCTAGGAACTCACTCTAAATGCAAATTCTTGGGTCAAACAGCAGATAGACTGAGTCAGAATCTGTGATGGTATCCATGGTC